TTAAGTCATGTAAAAGCAGTAACAGTGAGCAGTTTAACAAAATGTGAGTGATTAAATAAATCAGGATATATTCAAAGCATCCAAGAAAAATAAAGATGCTAATTATTATGTGAATAAATGAAAAACTCTAAATAAACAATGATTAATGCAAAAATCAAAATATTGACATGCAATCATTAAGATACTAATTCTGATAAGCTAAAAACAACAGATAGAAACTGGTAGTAAAAATTCCCAAATGGGACTACAATTTGTATTTGCATGGTGGTATAAAATTTCTTCAAGTTTATTTTTTTTTTTTAAATAATCCATTTGATAAGGCTGTTAAATTATAAGAAAAAACTAAGAATATTTATATTTGAACTTAATTTACACTATTACCATAGGATAGTTTTTAAATAAGATTTAAATAATATTGAGGTTTAAATCTTTCTTAAGACTTCTATCTAAAATACTGACCCATAATTTCAAGAGTAAAAATATATCAAATTGTAAACAAATTTATTAAGAAATGTATAACATGAAATGTGTACCAAAAAAAAATCACTAATCATCATTAACTCACAAAAGAACACTGAGACTTCATTCTTGTTTTACAAACTAAAATCAAAATTTAAATTCCATTTGGTAACAATTGTGCAACTTCACAGGTAGCCAGCAGATGTCAGAATCATACTACCTTATGAAATACCGCAAAGCAGTATATAGGGCAAGATGTAGTTTTGTGACTTTTTTTTTGACATAATGAAGTAAATTGAATATAAAGAGACAAATACATAGTACTATTCTAGAAGTTGGGAGAAAAACATTGAAAACATGCTTCTAGATAACAACTATTAATCTACTGGTTGTGAGATGGCAAAATCTGGAAAGTTATTTGGCGTTCATAGTTGAGTTAAAAAATTCATACTGTTTGAATTAAAAATGAGGCAAACATTTATGCATAAATCCAAAAATTATTTCATAATACTCTTAACTGGAAAATAGTACTATACAGTTATTATTACATATATATCTATGTATATATATGAAATGGGTATGATATATACATATATATAAAAGATTTACAATTTTCAAAAGTATATCTATATTAAAGGGCATCACATTGTTAACAGTGATTATTTATGGATGATATTATGTTTAAGTTTTTTTACTTCTTCGCACCCTTTTTCTCAAGTTTCTAAAATATGTATACTTTAGAATACATATAATGCTTTATTACAAAATATAGATACTAAACAGAAACAGTTCTCTAAATTATTTCTGCTCAATGTCAACTCCTGATTCATTCTGTTGATGCAATCGGATGAAATCATAATGGCAGAGACAGAGACTGGTGACAATGAAGGAATGCAGTGTTGACTGGCACGGGGTGGAGCACTCTCTTAGTCTGAGCTCCACAAAGTTTTGTTGGGCATTTGTTTTATCTTGAGCATAATGGCTCAGTCTCTGCTTTTGTGATATTATCTATTTTTGTATTTTATTTCTAGTTTCACCAATCTAACACTTAAGTAGCGCAGATTTGACTTTTTAATCCTTACAACAACCTTAGAAGGTAGGTCCTATTTTTATTAAATTAAGACTGAGGCACCGAGCAGATAAGTGATCTGCTTGGCCCATTATTAAAGAGTTGGAATTTGAAATCAAGCGATCAGATTCCATGTTTGTAACTCCTCCACTAAACCCAGAAATGCCATATAGGTGGATGATGACGTTTTAAAGAGAAAATTATTTTGAAAATTAGCTAGATAAAAATCTCAGATCGTGAAAATTAGATGTAAAGGAAGACAACTTAATGTTGTTTCTGTCTTTACCACTACTTTAGATCTTATGGGTTTTTCTGCTGTTTGTATGCTGTTTTTGTGAGCATGAGAACTGCTCAGCTGCCTCCATGTCCTACCAGCGAGGGGACTCTCTGAGGATGCAGTCTACAACCCTGTCCACTACAAGAGATATCTATTCTTTCTCTGGGGTCTTGCTGCTTTGTGGGTATTTCACTCCTGCAGCAGCATACCGACTCTTGGGTTCTCAGACCTCACCAACTTGTCTGCGGTTCTGATTCTTTCTAAGGCCCCTCTGGGCCACTGAACACTTGTCCCCTTTCTCTTACATCTTCTGAGTTTTCTTACCTTATGTTTCCCTTCTCTGAGGAAATAAGTATTAAAAAAACCCAAAAACTGAGTAGCTTGTACACAGTAATAGGTAAAAGGAGGATATGGAAGAAAATATCAGGAAAAAAATACTGATTAATATTTTACAAATATTTTACAACACATGGAATATTAAAGAAGATAAAATTAAATTTTAAGTCAAATGTATACCTATTACATCAGTGCAAGTTTTACTAGATCTCATATTGCATTATTTTAATTAATTTTTACTGATTTAATTAAATTTATTGAGGTAACATTGGTTAGTAAAATTATATAAATTTCAAATGTACAATTCAGTAATATGTCATATGTATACTGCATGTGTGTTCACCATCTGAAGTTAAATTTTTTTCCGTCATCATATATTTGACCCTCTTTACCTTTATCTATCCTTATTCTCCCTTCCCTCTGGTAACCACTAAACTGTTGTCCGTGTCCATGCGTCTCTGTTGTTTGTCATATTGCATTATTAACTCAGAGCTTCCCACAATTTCTAAAATGAACAAGAATAATTCTATTTGTATATAGGTGAATAGTAGCCACATAAAGACTATTATTTTTCATTTTTTCTTCTCTCTTTGTTTCAGAGAGAGAGATGAGATAGAGATAGAGATGATAGAGATAGAGATATAGAGATAGAGATAGAAGTAGAGGTAGAGGTAGAGATAGATATAGAGATAGATAGAGATACATAGAGATACATAGAGAGAGGTGCAGACACAGGATTCCTTTAGGACAAATTAATCTTTTTCCTCCAGCTGCCATTTCCCAGCTCTCCACTGTTTGGAGCCATCGCTTTATACTTCAGTGGCTCTCTTTACTGAGCTTTGCTTAATTTTTGTATGCTTTTTATAGTATTTACATCTTCTTACCAGTTTTTCAGATATGCAGTTTTGAGCTCCCATTGGCATGTGTCTTCTCAGCAGAATTACCATTTAGTGTATTGTCCCTTGTCTGATAGAAAGGATAAATAAACTGTCAGCTCCTGTGGATGGCTTTGCCTGTTTAATACAGAGTTAGTAAGGCACTATTAAAACTAATAAGCTGCTATCTGTCAAATGTTAGGCATTCTGAAGTTTGAGTAATAGTTTGCAAGTAGTTTTTGAATTGTATTACTGCACTTTGCCTGGAAATCAACAGATGTATATATGTACAGTCAAGGCTTTGCTGTTTTTGTTCATTTGCTTGCTTGTTTTTTGATGCAAGCTGACTGGATATGGTCAGTGGACTCTGGAATGAAAGGTATATGTGCTGTATGTTACTACAGATGTGTGAAACTATTATGCCGACCTATTCCTTGCTGGAGTAGACTTTCATACCTATTGAAATGAGGATATATGGTTTTGCATACCATAGCATTCTAGAATTTCTCTAACTTTACGTATAAAGAGTGCTGATTTTGGAAACAAGACACATTATTTTTATAGGAGAAAACCTTGGATAAAAGTATTGTTTATTCTTCATACTTTCCAGAAATGTTTGTCTAATAGACGGTAATTTGCATAGTCCTAAAATAAAAATTCTGACAGAAAGTATTACAACTGCTGCCATCAATGACTCAAAGTCTTTCAGAATATTTTTACCTTATAAGGTTTTGAATAAAGCTGGCCACTTATCAAAAATATAATTTTAAAAATCTCTTAATTGTGAAATCATTTGGAAAGCCTTCTAATTGAATATCTACTATGCTATTCATACAGCCATCAGCTGTCTAGACATAAGGTTTTTAGTCTCCTATGAATGTGTGTAATGAGTGCAACCTTTATGCAAAAACGTCCATTAAATATTTGAATCACATTTGAGTGATTTTCCATTTTCTTTAAAAATTGCTGTTTTTGTGCGTTGTTGCCTTTTATGAAGATTAAATATTCCTTTTTGAAATTTTAATCGTGGATTTGAACTAATGTGAAGGTAACTCGAAAGTATTCTAATTGACATATCAGCTATTTTAAATTTATCTAAAATTATACCAATAACACTTTATGAATTTTTTTGTTATAATATATTTTGTCCAAATTCTTTTGATGAAAAATAGTTCTGCATGAAAAGAAAGTCTTAATAATGGTTAGTGAAAAACAAAACAAAACAAAACAAAAAAATATGTACTGAGGAAGGCAGCCAATTGGACGGAAGAAGAGAAAGAGAAAGAATGCTCATTTCATGAAGTGCGATCAAACTTGTTGAGCCAATGTTTCAAGCTTCTCATGAAACTGGACAAGAGTAAATGGACCTTTGGTGATCTACAGCCCACATGAAAAGCAACTCAAGCATAGCATTATCTATGGGAAAAGATGTGTGTGTGTGTGTGTGTGTGTGTGTGTGTGTGTGTTACACAACAGGCCAGGAATCTCTATTGTTAGTCAAAGAGGACAGATTCAATGAAGATATTTATATAGCCCATTATTCATTTCTTCTGATTACCCATAGCTGTACTCAAAGCTTTCTATGACTGAACTGTATTTATTAGTTTTTTTTTTTTTGACTCACAGAGTTGGTTTTTACAGATTTGTTTTTCTTTTCTTAGTTTTCTTTTCTCTTTTTCTTTTCTTGCTTTTTTCTTTCCTTTTCTGGGCCAGACTTATGGGATAGCTCTGGCAGAAATAAATTTTTTTTTTTGAAAAGAACTTAGCAAACAACCAATAGTCCCAAAATATGTAAAATATCTGCTATTTTTCCAAGAAGTCCATCTTACTAATTTTACTTTTAAAAGTGTTCTTTAAAAGTTATTTTTTCAATTGCTGAATAAACACAAAAGATTTTTGCTTAACATATCATCACTGGAGCATGTCCGAATGGTCTCGATCTTCATAAAATAAAATAATGACTTTTGTCACTCTGTCACTTAAGGAACAACACCGGAGACCTGCAGATGGGGCTGCTGCCTAAGGCCACCACACAGCACATGGTGACTAACACATCCACTGAGCCTTTCAACTGTCCCAGTGAAGACAAAGACCTACTGAATGAAAATGTGCAAGTTGGCCTGTTATTTGTCTCCAAAGCCACCGTCCAGCTCCTCACCAACCCATTCATAGGACTGTTGACTAACAGAATCCGAGAACCAGTGGAAGGTGAGCTGAGGAAAAAATCCAATTCTATATTTTAAGAAACCCTACTGAATTCACAATATCATCAACCGAACAACTGATAGAAATCTATTTTCTATAATATCTAGTAGTGGCTCCTAACTGAACAGGTAATAACTCAGTTTTGAGACTCTAAAATAAATGCTGTGTAAATTAAAAGAGTCTGCTCTTCATTAGCATGTAACTGTAACTGTTTGATCCTGTCTCCTTTAACTCAAGAACCATTTTTGAAATGTTACATGGATAAGCTGTTGTAACTACTCAAGTCTGTTTTCCTAAGGTCTGTGAATCTTTGGCCCAATTTTGTCTTTTCTCTTTTGTATTCCCTAACTTTCTGCAATGGAGCCATCATGTTTCATTTCATTATTATTCTCTATAATTGTGTTTTTTGGATATTGACTTAGGAAAGCAACATCCACCTGTTCGGATGAGTAAGCTTTCATGTACATACAAAAATCATTTCTCCATAGATTAGTTTCCAGAAGTGGTCATACATTTTTACTCTTTTCTCCACTCTTTTTTCCATTCCTTTGACTTTTCTCACATTTATAGTTCGGTCAGATGGAATCAGAGACATAGTCAATAGAGCACGTTCTTTGATTGCAAAGAGTAGCCCTAACTAAGCACTAGTTTCTCCTTAGATTGTGGCCCAGGTCTGACCAGTACTAAGTACTTAATACATGTTTGAATGAATGATCACATACAACTTCTGGATGAGGAACAAAGGATGCCAATTGGTCCATGAGGGAATTAAATTTGTAACTTTAGCTTTATCTGTATAAGTCTCTATATCCAATGTAATTGTCTGGATCCTATATATTTCATAATGAAGCTTTTAGCACCAACAATTTGGATGGGGTATTTCCCAATAATCACTTTTTATTTTCTTTTTACCAGTTATCACTTTAAAATCAAAATTGAGCTCTGACGAGAGAACTAACCATACTTGCCAAGCTGCTGAATCAAGTCTGTGTCTGAAGTCTGACAGAGCAAGTGCTCTCTCGGGCCCTAAAGTTGCCGAAGGGCATGAATTGCAGCCTAAGCGCACAGCCAGCCTTCCGGGGAGAAAGCCAGCCAGATAGTGAGTGTCACACTATGCAGGGGCATTTCTTGTCACTGAGGGAGGCATTAGAGTGAACTCAACTGCTGAAAATCTCTATTTATTTGTTCCTAATTTTAAGCCACTGAGTGTTAGAGTCTATTTGTCTGTACTGCCTTGTCTTTACCTCAAAGTCCCTTCTTTTACAACAACAATAGTGAAAAAATCCCTAGTTTGAGATATAGAAGGTTCCCAGTACCTGAATGTATCACATTATTTAGCTGAACACATTCTAAATATAGTATTGTTCCTCTTACCATAGATAAAGCTTAAGTTTCTCAATAACCCATCCCTCCCAGAAAAGCAATAATGCTGAGAAAATCTGACATTTAGACAAACAGTGTCTTATTCATTATTTATTGCACCTAGAAAGAATAAACTACTACATACATTTAAAATTTGAGTAAGTGAAAAGTTTCTTCCAGTTCTAATGTTTTATGATTCTAAGAATACAACAATATTCTTTAATTGTTGAAATAAGAGTCATACACGTTTATTTAGCATTTTCTATATGCCAAATTCTGTTAAGTAACATGCCTTATTTCAATTCATTCTCAGAAAAAGTCTATGAGGACGGCAGTGCTCTTATGCCCCATTGATGGGTTAGAAAGTGAGGCTTAATGAGGTTGAGTCTTGCCAAGTTCTCTCAGAGTAAAAGGTAGAATTGAGCTTTAAATCCAGGCAAGTTTGATTCAAGAACCCAAGTTTTAAGTATTCTATACTGCAACTAAAATGTTAAAAGCTCTTGTCTGTACAAGATTTTACATGAAATAATTTTATTTATTAAGTGTGTAGATTCAACAGGAACTCTAAAGATAATATTTCTGAGCTAAGAGGGAAGATTATAACTTCTTCATAGACTTTACTTTCCCTGACAAACTCTGAAAACATGAGCAAAAAATATGGAAAGGAGAAAAAAAAGAACTAACAATAAATTTACCAACACCATCCACATAGGGTAAATAGCATAATTTAATTAAAAAAACCACAGCAAATAAACAAGCAAAACCCAAAACTCTTGGTAAAGAATGATGTATTTCTGAGCAGAATAGAAAAGCACAGCCTGGTATGGCCACTCACGCTAACCTCAATCCCAAGCCTTCTTAATGAGGGGAGAATTTCACTAACACCCTGCAGACTTGGAGGAAAACAGAATGTTGATCCTCCCACCCCAAACTTCTGAAGAAACATAGTGAAGGCCCTTCCTGGTAGAAATAAAAGGAACTGAAATAACAGGCCTTTGGAATTGGAGTTCTAGTTCTAAATTCTGCAATGGGGAAATTATCCAAAGTACAATAGTATCTCTCCCAGAGGAATGTTTTATCCCTCCTATCTACCCCCACTCCAAACTTGGTGGACTATAGGATTGCCAGGTAAAATATTTATAATAAACAATATGAAAGTCATATATATATTTTTTTTGCTACAGATGTACAGTTCAATTTGAATTTCAGATATTCAAAAGCAATATTATTTTAGAATAAGTATATCTAAAATATTGCATGGGAAATAGTTATACTAAAAATATTGCTTATCTGAAGTTCAAATTTAACTGTGCATCTTATATGTTTCTTTACTCGATCTGGCAACTCTATTGAGGTAGAATCTCTAGTAGAGGACAAATGACAAAATCTCAGGATTGAAAATAAATGAACAACAACACAGAGGCCATGCAGTCTAACAACAAGTTGAAAATATTGGACCCATTTAAACATTGAACTCTGAAGTTCTATGTACCAAAGAACATGTTGTAAGAGGATGCAAAACAGGAAATGAAGCCTGGGATATATTTTATAACATAAAGCTGAGATATATTAACATGACAGACAGTATAACAACCACAAATGTTTGAAGTGCTTGAGAGAAAGATGAGAAGACATGTGAGAGCTCTAAATCTTCATCCTTCAAAGCAAAGAGTCAGTAGAAATAAAAACATATAGTTCAAACAACTCTAAACTATTAAAGCTTTGTTTCTTTTTTTTCATTTTAACCTTGGTGAGATTCTTCAAGAAATAAATTCTCATAGTAAGGAAATATTCAAAGTTCAAATTTTTAGTTTTATTTTTCCTTAATTAAGTTATTGGGTTATTAAGTTAATGGGTTATTTTTAATTTAAAAAAAACCTCTCTTTATTCTGATCCCATTTTAATAAAAAATATCCCTAGTATCTATCTCTTATCTACTTATAGATTTACCTACCAGTCTACCTTAAACATGCCCACTCTATGTATGTATTTCAAAAAATTAGGATAATATCTACCTAATGGTAATGATGATAAATTCTTAGCAATTGTTTAAGGGGTTATTTTTTAAGTATTTTTATACTTCTTGCATTATTTGGTTCTTTATAATGAGTATATATGCTCTTAGAAACAAGAAAGTGAATAAAAAAAGAAAGCTGTGATCCAAAAGGACAAGATGATAAGAGTGGATAAATCTGGTTAGTAACTGTTATTTTCTTCTTGGTACTGTTCTATATATTTTTTTAAATTAAGGAAATTCTAAACATATATATATAATTTCCAGAATCATTTAAAATTACAAATCTAAAAGAAATGTGAAGAGGCCTTATAAAATATTAGAAATCATTTAATTTTTCCCAAAGAAATGCATCTACCTGCTTATAAGGAAAGAGATAATGATACTGGGCACAGAAGGGGGAAGGGGAAGGCAAGAAAAGGTAATTAGAAAAAAGACAAGGGAATAGAAAATTTTTTAATTTTTCTATTTAAAGCTAATTTTAGACATTTTATACAAAGCCAGCCTTGGGTTATAAGATTATTTCATGAAACAATCTTCCTTTACTGCCTCATATGAGGACTGGTATTATCCCAAGACAGGTTTATTAAATTTCTGTCTGATCATCCTCTACTCATGGAATTTGTTTGCTGATTATAGAGAAACAGAGAGGTACACTGACTTTCCCCATCCCAATTTTTCACTTTCCTAAACATCTGGTGACTGTTCTACTCAAAATGAGAAATGGCAGACTCATGCTTGTGATTGACGACTTGTTATGACCCTAAAGCCCCTTCCTCACTGTTAGGATATTTCTCTTAACTACCTTTCCCAGACCTTGAACTATGCTCAAATATTTCATTATGAACTATTAGTTATGTAATTCAAGCTATAATTAAGCTAAAATAGCTAACTAGATCATTAAATTAAATCTAAACAGAATTTTTTTTTGGATAGGGAAACTTTATAGTGGTGTTTTGTTGCTGCTGCTGCAGCTGCTTCTGATGCTGCTATGATTATGAAACCTCAAATAAATAATAGTAATAATACAAAAGGAAATAATTACAATGATGATGAATAATAGTTTGTTTACTTTTATATAGACATATAATTTATGATAGCCTATGTTTTATAATTAAAGCTATACTTTATATGTATAAACACACATTTATAATAATCAAAATTATAATAATCGTTATTTTGGCTACAAACCTCAGGATCCCCGCTTCCCACTCAAATAATAAATCTCAGCAGATTAGATGCCCACTTGCCCATAGGCCACCTTTGTCACCTTGAAAAAAGCTTCCACTGCTTTCAAGCCCTTGGCCCCTTCCCTTCCCACATCTGGTCCCAATCTTGGGAGAACACATGAAAGGAATTCCGCGACAACCACATTAAGGAATTACCCACCCTCTCAACTTTGGGCATCTTAAGCAAGAAGAGAAGTGCAAAACAGTATCAACGAATACCTGGTGACCAGAATCGTCGTTCCAGGGTCTAGCTCATGCCACTTATCAAGCAAACCTGAATCCTCCTCAAAACTTTCCCCACTCAATGGTCAGAGTCACACTGAGAGGGTGATTCGACCCAGGAGCCCAGCAAGATGCGAAGGAGCCCAGCAAGATGCGAAGGAGCCAACCCTGTCCCAACACATCAAGAATAACTGAGGCCAGGTTTGGGAAGGATACTGCACATGTGCGTACCTGGGCAGGAGTGCTCATGGTTCAGGATGCCCAAGCCCAGGGCCAAAGTGCCAAGTACAGACTCACACTCCTCGCTCCGTAGGCGCCAGCTATGTGTCAGGCAAGGTCAAAAGCCACAGCAACTCAATCACGGTTTCATTTTTCTCGAGGTCAGTTGCTCCTCCCGGCGCTGCGAGGTGTCTCGCATTTGTCCCAGGGGATCATTGCTGATGCTCCTCAAGCCTTTTCCCTGAAGAGCCTCCGGGCCCTGCTCTTTCTGACTCAGTCCAATTGCCAGTACCTTGCAGCGGGTGAGCTGGCCCCTCAGGAAATGTTCTCTTTTGAACACCACAGGGGATGCCCGAGGGCAGGACCGGGTGGTGGTGGTAGCGGGAGGGGGTGGTGTGTGGGGTCTCCCAGGAAGTCAAACAGGAACCAGAAGATAGAGCCGGCAGCTGGCGCTACGTGGCTTCACATGTGTGGGGGCGGTAAGAGCAGGTTCTGAAGTGGAAGGGTGAGGATGGGCCGGGATGTGCTTAGCATCCGGGGATGCTCTCGTGGCTTCACATGTGTGGGGGCGGTAAGAGCAGGTCCTGAAGAAGTGGAAGGGTGAGGATGGGCCCGGATGTGCTTAGCATCCGGGGATGCTCAGAGAATGTCGGAATCAGGCCTGTGGCGCTGCTGCCCCAACCACTCTTCCCGGAGGAATCTGGGTCTCTCAGGATCTCCAGAGATCTACGGGGGCCCTCTGGGGAGTGCCAGGATGACAGACATGCGGCCGGGGTGCCGGAAGCCCCTCGTTCCAGACTCCTCCTTAAGGAGTCTGGCAATTCTCTATGCTTCCCTCTGCCCCAGCCACAGAAGTATGGTGGTGCTTGGCGGGGTGGGGGGGCCTCACGCTCTGGTCCAAAGGCTGTGCGGGGGTGGAACCAAGAGGCCAGAAGGGGTAAGTGAACCTCTGGGAAAGTCCAAGGCCACAAACACGCAGTTCCATTATCCTCAGGAGACTTGCTCCTCCCGGCATTTATGGAGGTGTCTAGAATTAGTCCCAGGAGACCACCTA